ACTGGAGGCTCAATCAGACCCCATGGACATGGTAATGTGAGGAATGCAGCCATTTCCTCCTTTGCAGGAAAACAAAAGGAGCTGCTGAAGCGCCTGGTTTGTCCCACCTCATATAACAAGGCTGCCGCTCCCAGATCACAGTCTGCTTTGTGTGAATCCAGTCAGCCTTTAGGCCTCGATTTGAACAGGTTCAGGATCCTGATGTGACTCCTGATGGAAAACGTGTCACAAACTCTGAATATTAAATGATGATTAGAGTGATTTGATGTCTGTTTGATTAACTGAAATATGGTGACTTGGTGACACTTCATCATTGATATTTCAAATGGTATGAGAAGCTGTAAATCAATCAATCTGCAATGAATTATACAGTTCAAATTCATGATGATATGTGAGTGAATGAATGATGTAGCCAATGTAAAGCACTTATCATTATTATTATTATTATTATTATTATTATTATTATTATTATTATTATTATTATTATTATTATTATTATTATTGTTCACAATTTAATTAAGAAGCAGATTTATAAAACACTCTGATGGATTATTTCAAGAGATGTGGAAAAAACTACCTAATAAACGGGCAGAAACTTCAAGCTCAACTACCCAGAACAGGTGAAAAGCCATCTGCCAGTGCTGGTTGAGCCAAAAGAGTCAGATAGTGAGGCAGAAAAAGGGGAAAATTAATGAAGTGAAAAGAGCAACAACAACAACATTAACAGGTCATACCGACTAACAGCTATAAAGCTTACAACGGTGTTAAAAATGTGTGGCATATTAGCAATAATAGCATCCTAGTTTATAACTTTATTGTGACTGTTAACTTGACCAGTTAAAGCCAACAGATAGATGTACAGACCAACCATCAGACATAAGCTCTTAGTATCCATTTATGCAAACACACTAAAACCAAAAACACTAAAGATCTTTTATCATGTACCACAGTCTGGAGGGTCTTATCATTGTACTGTATGTTTTATTTGTTATTAAAATATGCATATGTCGTACCATTCTGTGAGAGACAGAGAAACTTTTCATTTGCAATGTTTGTTTGACATTTATATCCACCCATGATGCCAGCAGGATGAAGTTGCTCCAAACTTCATCCTGATCAGCTTGCAGAAGATTATCATCCAGCCTTTCTCAACTGCTGATACACTCACACATGTTATGCTCTATCTCTGTGCTCTCCTTCTGCAAGTATGGGAGTCACATTTTTACCTTTTTAATATTGCCCCATTACTTTTGTTGAGCAAACTTCACACTCTGACAGCATTCATGTCCTTCTGTTTTCTCTGTACCACTAAGTTGATGTGATGTGTTTGGGTAAAAGAACAAAAAAATCAAGGTGCTTCGCTGTGCAGTACCTTTGTGTTATTATGATGTTATGTTTGAGTGAGCTGCCACATCTTGATGAAGTCCACCTCTTTGAACTGTGCCAGGGAGCACTCACACTGGCCAAATAAACTGGACTTTGGGGGTCAAATGCACCTGAGTACAGTAGGGATTCCCTGGTGTGAGTGGACTATAGCAGTTTGAGTCAAGCACGTCCACAGCAAGCAAACCAGGAAATTACAAGACAAGTCCAAAACTTTGATGAAGATAGGCTATAAGAAAGTACATGGCATGGATTTATGAACATGGATCTCCTGAGCAGGCTCATAACCTAGCTCCATACTGGCTAGCACAGTTTGCAAAAGCAGAATCAATCTTTTATGTATGAAAGAGGATAACCCATGAGTCAAAATCAATATGTCTGACTTTTCTTTTGAATCTAGAAGTTATTTCATAGAAAAATCATATAATTCTCTGTTTTTTTTTCTAAATCTCACAGCTGGTTGGGGAGAGGTGAATACGCTTGAAAAATGTGATGAGGGTTTCCATGAGATATGGAAATTTATGGGAATTATACAATCTCTGTGAGGGCTGTCATGGCTGATATGAGTATGAAAGTGAAAAGAAAGAACACTTTGAATAAACCTCTTATTATGTTGGTACATTCATGAACTAGGACATCTCTCTCTCTCTCTCTCTCTCTCTCATGAGGTCTATTAAGCCAGATAAAATCAGATAATGCAGGGTTGGTGTTTGAGGAATAAGTCAGTATTGGTGTTTTTGATCAACTATGTGGATGTGTAATACTGGATTTAATTTAAATTGAATCTTCATCAACTTAAAGTATCTGTCTTTCGAGAAGATATTATCTCCTGAAAAGATTGTTTATGATGCTTTTATTTTGACATTTTTACTGTTTTGTATTCAAGCTGCTTTATTTCCTGGATCGCCAAACTTTTATTTTGTAATCAGGCACCCTCTACTTTCAGCCAACCCTGACTTAAAAGACTGAACAAAACAGCTAATTGAATGCTTATAAAGTAGAACTGTTCAATCCATTAGCACCCTTAATTAGCACAAGTCACCACACAAGTGACTTGTGCTAATTAAGGACAAGTCAGCACAAGGAAGCCCTAGATGTTTCTGCTGGAGTTTGCACGCCATCCATTTTTAAACAATCTGTGTATTAGTATAAATGGTCTTTCAGTTGATAAAGCATATTATTGGAGCCAAATCGATGGTCTTACCTGAGACAGAGGTCATGTCGGAGATGAATTGTTCTTGCCATAAAACATTCACCCAGGAGATTAGAGCTGGAGTATAGTGTGAAACAGTCATCGGGTTTCTTTATATGACAAAGAAGTCTATTACAGTTAACCTAACCAGAATGATTGACAAACATGAGTCCCTTTGTGTTCTATAACACAATGTGTCTCAGGACAGACACTGTGTGCATTTTCTGTGTCTAAAAGAGGCCTGTAGGGGAACTTGTTACAAGCAGGAAGGAGAACATGTTAGGCATTTATATTTCACACAAAAACATCGCCACTTGCTGAATGGATTCATTCATCCATAATGTACATTTGCCCTCATTCTATCAAATTTGAACTGTAAAGATAGTCCTGAAAAAAAAAACCCATAGGAACATACGGGCCCCTCATAAAACCCTTCTAAACCTCAAATAGTTGTTTTGACTCTTGGCTTCTGTCTGGATTACACAAACAAGATATAGTGTTTAATCTGTAAGCTTTCAAAGTGTTAATTAGTGGATTTTATTTATCCCCAGACAGATCTGTGTCAAGTCTTTGTACCAAATGTATGTGTTACTCTGTTTTCAGGCCCCTTTACTGGTACACTATGTCTGTCTGCTGATATTAAGTTTCTTACTGAGCACTCTAGTTATAGTGCAGGTGTGGTCTTTAGATTTCCCTTGTTATGTTATATCAGGAATAACAATAAGGCAAACCTGTATTTTTCTATCAGTCACTGAGGTGTTATCAGCATTCTTCAGCCACTGTTGGTTTTAAACTGCCATGCAAATCAGCAGGTGGACGTTTGCCTGCGAGTGTGTGAGATAAAGTCACCTGCAGTTTGTCTGTTGACTGAGTCTCCCGTCTTTACAAGAGCAGACTTGTTTACACCCTACATCCTCCGGCAGCATGTCAGGATTATCCTTTTCATGCAAATAAAAAAAAAGAGCTGAACTCAATGACAATACTATACAAACCCCAACCCCCACTGCCAGCTGATCCCATCTCCATGCATGCATGTGTGAATGTGAGTGAGTGAGTGTGTGTGTGTGTGTATAGTTTGTGCTAGTGGTGGAGGGGAGAACAGCAGATGGCAGGGCTGTCCCAGTCATGTCTGCTTTTTTGGGGGAGAACAATGCATCTCTCAGAGCTCTTATTAAAGGAGGGGAAGGGGATTTCAGTCCACGGACAGCTGGCAGGCAGTGTTCCTCACACACACACACACACACACACACACACACACACACACACACACACACACACACACACACACACACACACACACACACACACAAAACCTCACTGTGTTCACACTCAGACACACACTCTGCAATTATCTGGCACGGGCCACGGCTTAAATATTTACCAGGCACATGCAAACAAAGAGCTGGTCCAGAAAATAACGATTAATTTATGTCTCAATTAGATGACAACATAATTAAGATCACTGTAGTATCTAACATGTGAGGCAGATAAAACACTCTGAAAACTACAATTCAGCTTCAATAAACACAAATCATATTTGCCACTGTTTTAGTACAAACCACACATGAGTTCTTATCAGTCATATTTCATTTCTAAATAGTTCTGACGTGTTTGGGTCTCAAAACCCAAACACATTTTAAAATGTTTTTCTGGAAGGAAACAAATGTGGGAGTATTTTAAAATTTATGAAACAGACAAAAACCATATTGAGGCCTTTTTATAATATCTGAAAGCAAAGAAAATCATTTTTGACACTGCTGATGATTTTTATATCCTTATTTTTGAGCCAGAACCAGTGTGAAGGGGAAAGTGTCAATGTTTTTTTTTTCACAGTTTCCACAAAAAATATCACAATGGATCATTTCAATGGAGGACATGATGAGCTAAGAGTGCTTTGTCCACCTATGTATATGTATGTATATATATTTTTATACTTTTATCTTTGATTTGAAGTTCTCCTGGATACTTTTGGTTAATTTCGATGTCACTCTTTCTCTTCCTTCTTATTTCCTCACCTCACATGACCTACCATTACATCCATTAAGCATCTGATTTCATGACATTGAGGTTGTAATGTTTTTCTGCATTTTACGATCATTTTTATCACCCGCAGCCTCACAATAGCATTCCTGTGTTGCTCTTAAAACTAATCTAAAACTGCCATGACTTCAACCACATTGAATCATCAAACCCTGTAGCAGTATGGTGGAGTGAGGAATTGTACGAATCGACAAAGACAACAATAACAAACTCTTTCCATGAGATGGGCAGCCAGCTGAGATGAGTGCTGCTGCTCTGAATCCAATTTTTGCTCAGTCCCTCCTCCTCCTCCTCCTCCTCCTCTCAGTCCTCTTCCTCCCCCCTCTCCTCCTCCCCCCTCCTCCCCCGTGCTCTGCTTTTGATCCCACAGGGACTCGCAGCCTTTACATTCCGCTCATTCCAGCCGCAGCGAACAATCAGCTCTCAGTTATTTATTGGTGCAGCTCGCGCTCTGCTCCGCTCAGTCTGCTGCTGGCCGTTACATGGAGGAGAGCAGAGGAGCAGAAGACCGGGATCATTGTGGAATAAATTGTTTGAATTGAGCAAGAAAACTGAGAAATTACACCAGGCGACTTGTATTTGTTTTGCGTGTGATGAGCCTTTATTTGGGTGAGTTTACAGCTTTGTTCTCGGAGGGTTTTTCTCTCGCTTTGACTGTTTTGGACGCCTGATAACCAGACGTCCTATCTGCACGGATGTGTTAGCATGGTGCTGTGTTGATGTGGGAGAATTAACGAGACTTTTTCCAGTTTGTAAATATGATCTTTTATAATAAATCTTTTGGCAACTTTTACACCTGTACTCACTCAAAAATTGCTCTTTAAAAACACATGCTGGTCTTTAGTAAACTTTAAACCTCGAACTTTGATGTTATTGTATTTATTATTATGAGAAACTCATTTTCAGGGATCATATTTAGGCAATGCACCAATACATTTTCCATCAACCATTGCATAAATTAGTCTATTTGTTGTTGTGCAAGTTTGCAAAGCCAAGCTAAGCCACTATTTGTACAGTTTGGCATATCTAAAACATTAAAAGTTGACCCTAACTGCTATGAAGTTAAGGTAGGTAGGTTAGAAACTATATGAATTAAGGTATCCACTATCATCAAGAAAGGCTGAAAATACAGAGTTAAGATGTTTAAAACTGTTTTAATTCAATAGCTCTGTTCAATCAAAGAGAAGTTTTATAAGTCGCAAATTTGCTTAAACAACTTTTCAATGAAGTCTATGATACTGAGATGCACTCTTCAGTTTGCCAGGTTAAGTTATATTACTATATATACAGTTTTGGAACATTTAAAACATGGAAAGATCACTCTCTGCTTTAAAGTTGAGGTAGATGAATCAGATGCTTCCCAACTGAAGGTATTAACAGTTAAAGTGCAAAAATCATTACAAGGAAACAAAAATGCGAAGTAAATATGTGGAAAGTCATTAAATTTAATAGCTTTATTGAACAGGGAGTTTGAAGAGTCACAAATTTGCTCAAACAACTGTTTGATAAAGTGAGTACCACTCTTGAGTTGAGCTGGGGAAAGTTATGCCTTTGAGCGTGTGAGCAATAAAACCTGATACACACTGACTTCACTGTCAGGGATATTTCCAGTAATAGCTCTCAAAGTTATTGTGCAATAGAAGTCTTTGTCAATTAATGGAGAGGAATGTTGGCCTCTGCCTGCAGCATACTACCAAAATACTGCTATCATACAGTATTATTGTTATAAAGAAAATAAGATTCAAGAACCATAGATAAATCAATAAGAGTATTGTGTCTGATCATTTGGATGGTTTCTTCTTCAGGTTTGTGATTGGAAAAGCTCCAGACTTCCCCGATTGGCTCTATTTTCTGCTCATTTTGAAATGAGAACCGCTGAGGAGTCATCAGGAACGGTCCTGCACCGTCTCATCCAGGAGCAGCTCCGCTACGGGAACCTGACAGACACTCGCACACTTCTTGCCATCCAGCAGCAGGCTCTGCGTGGAGGCAGCAACAGCAGTGGGGGCGGGGGCGCAGGAAGTCCTCGCTCCTCTCTGGAGAGTCTGACTCAGGACGAGTCCCAGTACATGCAGATGTCTACACGACAGGAGCCTCAGGGTCAGGAGCACCAAGGAGATGGCCTGCACTCTGAGAGCCAGGTGTGCCATCTGTACCAGCTCCATGGAGAAGAGCTGCCCACATACGAGGAGGCAAAAGCCCACCTGATCTCCCAGCAAGCCGAGCAGGAGGCACCCAGCATGGACATAATGGGGGGTCACAGTGAGGGACAGTGGGATCTAAAGAGGGAGCACGCTCGCTCCCTCAGTGAGAGGCTCATGCAGCTTTCTCTGGAGAGGAACGGAGCTCGACACAGTGCGGCTATGAGCACCTCACACAGCTACCCACAGCTGTACAACCAAAATATCACAAACACTGCAGCTCATGAAGGGACACAGCAGAGTGTGGACCAGCGAGGGCCACCCCCGGACTATCCTCTCATTGCCAGACTGCCTGGATATATGCTTAGCCACTCACAGGAGCATGTACAGTACTACAGAGACCCTCCACCCCCTTTCTACGCTCAGCATCACAGGTAAAAAAAAAAGGGATGAGACGAATGAATCTGACTAAACGAGGTCATATATCCTGCTTCAGATAACGCTTCCTTTCAGTACTTCCTACACCTTGTGGTTTCCAACAGTTTTGTAACGATTACTCATGTCTCCTCTCAGCAGGTATGTGTCTGCTCAGTCCCAGGTGGCTCACAACTGTAGTACAATCCCAACCTCAAGCAATAACTCAGCTCAGACTGATGTATTGATGCGGGAGAATGAGCGGCTCAGGAAGGAGCTTGAGGTCTACGCTGAGAAGGCCGCCAGGCTGCAGAAGGTGAGAGACCAGTGGATGTGCTGGCACACAGAGGCTGTGAAATCATAACAAAGCAGTGTCCTAATAGTGCTAGTCAGGGTCAGAGGCTATTTGGCATACTATTCATTTCATACTGAAGCCAAATAGATTCTCTCTAATAGTTGAGTGTAAAAGTTTCTCCTCCTCTACAGTCCCTTCAGCACCCCCCCTTTGTCTTTCAAACATGCTGGCATTTTGCCACCAGAGCAGATAAATGCCCTGACACCTGGGACCCACAAGTATTCACTCAGGAATGTCGAATCCAACTATTCACATGCGCATAGTATTATGAGCCATTTGCCTGTGGGCAGTAAAAAAGGAATGAAGAGATGACTAATTAGCCTCACTGGTGTTAACTACTGAAAACTCGACCACAGTGCAGACAATGACTGTGCATGCCTTTCCCAGAGACTGATCATCTTCTCACATCTCCTTCTCAGTTGGAGCTGGAGATTCAAAGGATTTCTGAAGCCTATGAGACCCTGATGAAAGGCTCTGCAAAGCGGGAGGCTCTGGAGAAAACAATGAGGAACAAACTGGAGGCTGAAATCAAAAGGATGCATGACTTCAACCGAGACCTTCGAGGTATGTGTTGACCACTAAACCCATCCTGATGATTCCTGCTGCAGTCTGTGTTTAAGCATCATGTTTCATTTATTATCCTGTTTTTTTACAGAACAACTCGACACAGCTACCAAACATCGAGCAGCAAAGGAGACAGAGTGTTCGGACCAGAGACAGCACGTCTTTGTTAAACTGCTGGAGCAAAGTGAGTTTATCTCTGTGTTTTATTGAACCTTTATTAAGCCTTTTAATGGAGACACTGTCCTCTCAGTGTACGGCACAGAAAAGGAGGTTTTCTGCTATTATTATTAGTCAATATGAGCCCATCACAGATACACCAGTATGTGCTTGGATGTATTCTAGTATTTGTAGAAGTTAAACTTATTCATCTGGACATGTGATGCAGAAATAGTGCTTTTGGTTATTTAGGAGCATAACATTGTCATGTTTTCACCATTGGACATACGATCAGTTTGCCTCCTGTGAACTTGTTTTTCCATTAACCAGCTGAAGGGGGTCAACTACTGTAGTTGAAGCAGACCCACTTTGGTCAATCAATAGATTTCTGCCCTGTGTTTGTGTCAAGGACAAAGATAGTGATGCAGTTATATTGCCTGATTGGACTATGACTGTAGCTTCACTCACTTAAAGAGTATAATGCAGAAAACAGCACTAAGGGTGACTTAAAAATGGCGCTTTTAGTTCAGCTGAAAAACAGAACCCGCAACCATGAATCAGTGCATCAGAGCCATGCAGACGGTGGTTCGCACTGGATATGGTTTAATATTGTATCTTAATATTGAATATTCTGTGTCAAGTTCTTTGTTCAAGGAAGCAGCCTTCAGAATATACAAGCACATTAACATAAAAAAGCGGTTTTATTTCAGATCTCTTTTTATTTGGACTCTGTCCTGGTGTAAAAATCCTCTTCAGTCAAAGATTTCATGTCAGTCAGGCTCCATTTATGAGTTTTTAAACTGATTTGACAAACTCCCTTCCTTCAGAAGGACCAAACAATGACAGGAACATATTAAAACAGTGATTGGTTTCCTCTTTCAGGGAGGTGTTGAGTTATGAAAGCTGTCTCTACATGTCAAACACCTTCATATCTAATGTGAGGAGCTACTCTGGGCGCTCACCGAGACACCAGCCATTTTTGCATCGCTGCAGTGAATGTGGCCTGAATTCCTGGGATTTTTTTCAGTATTTCAGGCTGTTCTAGCTTTAGGAATGCCTCCCTCCTCTCTCCTCTTTCCCTCCTCCCTCTTTACTCAGTTTTGCATCACCGCTGACTTTCCTCCTTGAGGGGAGCTAATAAGTCTGGGACTCCAGGGCATCCAGGCCTGACTCAACATGACCTCTGGTCGTCTCACTCTCCTTGTTTGGGCATTTTTTTTTTACCTCAGGGTTCAATCATTTTCAGTGTGTTGTGAATATTTCTTCCTCTCTTGACTGTACTGGAATGTATTGTAGAGTAGAGAAGAACCTGATATTTTGTGCATTTCCATTTATCAAAAAGTGGAGGAGGAAGAAAGCCATGCATGAAAAAGTAACTCAGAGGAGTCTTTTTAAAAGTTAGTATAACATGAATACAGCCAAATACAATAAGCAAAGCCCACACTAAGACAAAAACAAGATTTCAAGAATAAAGAACTTTGTGTTATTAATGCAAACTTGTAGGATTTATGCCTTGCATAAGACCATTAATGAGAAGAGGATCATCTTTTTGATTTTGCATTTTGAGAAACGGGTATAATTGCCAAAATTTCGTCTTTTTTTTTTTTTAAACATTATTTTAGATATATACTCACAACACTTTAACTCTTAAGCTTTTACTCCTCTTTGCAAATTAGACTGTACGATTTTGATTTTCTTTCCCAAACTCTGCTGTAGTTACATAACCATCAGCGCTCTCCTGCATACCACTCTCACTGGAGTGACAGCTGCACTGTTCTGTGTTGGTTTCAGTGATTGACCCAAAGCCAAACATCAGAATTATTGCCTGTTTACAGTAACAGTTATCTCGGAGCAGCAGAGGCAAAAGCCACATCTGGACTACAATTGGTGGATGTGTAGATTTTTTTTCTCCTCAAGGACCACTTGAATTATATTTTGAGCCGCTTGTTTACTTCTCGTCCCTTGAAGCATTCCTGAGCTTTTCCCAGTACAAGGCGATGCCTGTGTGCGTAAGTGGATAAGAGGAAGTCTGCATTCCCTCCACAGGCATGCAGGCGTGTTGTGTAATCAGCCCCCTTTTAAAAGTGGCACAACAGACAAGCTGGATTTCCTTTACGAAAAATTCCACTGAAACGTTGACCAACTTTTAATAAGTGTTTGAAAATGTTGTTCCTGCTGCTTGCCTGATCCACGTGTAGAAATCTTTTTGTTGCTCTGCTCTCCGCTTTTGCGTGGCTGAATCACATGCCTGAATGGCAGTGTGTAAATGTCCCTTGTTGGGTCACATTCCTTACAAAACATCATTCACTAAGCTGATTCAGCTGCTTGATTGATCCCATCAATGGCTGCTGAAACTCTTGATATGAAGTTTACTCTTCTTAAGAATTCATTTGACCCCCTTCACAGTACTGCTTTTGTTCTATAGCTTGGGAAATTCACCCCGAGGCCTCTTTTCCCTCGGTTTTTATCGTAGATGAAGAGCAGCAGCGGGAGCGTGAACAGCTGGAGCGGCAGATACAACACCTGCGCATCTCTGGGGAGGAGTGCCAACGCAGACGGGAGATTCTGGAGCAGGCCCTGGCCACGACCCAGGCCCGAAACCGTCAGCTGGAGGAAGAGCTGCAGAGGAAGAGGGCCTATGTGGAGAAAGTGGAGCGGCTGCAGAGTGCGCTGGCTCAGCTGCAGGCAGCCTGTGAGAAGAGGGAGGCGCTAGAGCTGCGGCTACGTACACGGCTAGAGCAGGAACTAAAAAGCCTGAGAGCACAACAGGTGAGCAGGAAAAGTTATTTGAAGGTGTAAGACTACTAAAACAACACTTTGGAGAGGTTTTTCTTGAGAGTTAGATGAGACTTCCGTCAGCTTAGAATGTTCAGTTTTGGCCATGTGTTTAAAACTTGTCACATTTGTCATTTGTCATGTGTCAAATTGCTGATTCAAACAGTATATGGTTCTCTGGAAGCAAAATGGTTATATCTGTTGTCCTTTATCTCAGTCTCAGAACCAGGCAGCAGACTCAACAGCTTCAGAGTTGAGCCTGTCCACTTTGCAGCAACAGCAGCTAAGAGAAAAAGAGGAGCGTATTCTGGCCCTGGAGGCAGACATCACCAAGTGGGAGCAGAAGTACCTAGAGGAGAGCACCATGAGGCAGTTTGCAATGGATGCAGCTGCTACTGCTGCAGCACAGAGGTACAATAAAACATGGAAACATGTAGCTGAAATAAAAGCTCAAAACTAGTGGAAGGTTTGGGATGGTTTATAACAGAGATCTTTTCTTTTGCAGGGATACAACCATCATCAATCACTCTCCTCGGCATTCACCAGACAGCAGTTTTAATGAGGACCTGTCTTTATCAAGTCAGAGACATCAGGAGATGGAGAAAAGGTATGAACATACAGTATATTGCTCTGAACATACAGTATATTGCTCATTGTTAGAAACTCAGTCAAATCTTCTTGAGGAGTGATCTAACAGTGTAAAAATGTGTTCAGGATTCGTGCACTTCACGCTCAGCTCCTGGAGAAGGATGCTGTGATCAAAGTCCTCCAGCAGCGCTCCAAATGGGAGCAGGGCAAGCTTCGACTGGCCCGGTCCGTCCCCTCCATCAACACTGTGACCAGCAGCACAGAGAGTAAAGGTGAGAACAAGATGATTCCCTACCCGTGAGGAATTCTAAATCTATAATGACACATGCTATTAGGCGACAACTGGCAGACTGGTCAGCGCCGCCAGACAGAATGTACGCTTCCTAAAAAAAGTGGGCAGTAGATGACAACCCTTTCGTGTCCCTCAAATAGACAACATGTTTTTAAACTGGAATGCATATCGTCTCTCACTCCAGAATAGCCTGATCCAGAATAGTCATGGGAAGAACTCAGCAGGCAGATGTTTAGGAGAGTGTCAATGTGGATGTAAGCAGGTAATTAAGCAGCCTCCTCCTTTTGTCTTCGTCTGCAGGAAAGAGCCTCTCAGATGATCAGACAGGTGCTGCTGCCCTGCACATCAAATCCAGGGTGGTAGTCGCTAAGGCTCCTAGCCGAGACTCCAGCACCCAGAGTGACGAGGTCCCACAGGAGCAGGAAGCAGAGTCCACAGCAGAGCCCAGCAAGCAAAAGCCATGTGATGTGATCTCAGCAGCTACGTCGAGTGAGTTTATAGTTTTGTCAGACAAAATCACCACTATGCAAAACACTGCTAATGTAAACAGTCATGTTTTTATTCTAATCAAATTACAAGTCCAAAAATATGGAGCATTTCCTTATGGTGACTGCTACTGTGTTTAAATCACAGTATCACGTAGAAGAATATTTTTCACTATACAAACGTGACATCAGGAATGTAATACTGCCAAATGTAACAAGCAGTAAAGAGTATAAAGTAAAGAAACTCTGCTCAGTGTAAACAACAACCAAACTACACTTAGTATGTTGACATTACGGCTCATTTAGGCCGTTTTACTCAACTGCAGTCCTTGTCCCAGTACACAGGCACCATCGAAAAATAAATAAAGTGATTAGAGGTAAGAGGTGATATTCCTCCTTTTAGCCAGTTACTATATGACCATCTTCTGGCTGAACTGTTACATCACAAAACAGACAACTCTACAGCCCTATACTGTGTACTCGCTTTGTTGAGTTTAAAAACCCACCACCCCACCCCAAAATTTTTCTTTTGTTGTTTGTTTACTCCCTTTAATCTAATGCAATACATCAGTTTTTGATATCAAGTAAATGTTCTGAGTCCTAAAATGACCAGACTTTGATTTATACTGGGCTGAAAGAGATGTTCAGAACAGATCTTTTGCATGATTAAAAGATACAGAGCAATGCAAAGTCATATGTCACTTAAACAGGTGCCAGGGTGCAGTTACTACAGTCAAAAAAGTTACCTCTGTTGCGTTTTAACAAAGGTTATTTTTTTTCTAACCTGATTAAAGTTTGCTGGAATCTGCTTTGCCTCTAATGAGCTCACGTTTATGAACTGATAACATTACAAATTTAAAGCTCATTCAATTTAAAGCTCAAATTAAACCATTTGTATTGTGCAGCTTTGCAAACAGCAGCTCTTGCAGTTTTATTTGCTCTTGCATACCAAAGTTGTTTTTCTAATCTGCTAATTTTGTCTCCACTGTAGACGCCACGGAGGAGCCAAAGGCAACACTCAAGACATTCAAGAGCATCAACAGCTCAGACGCAGAGGTGGTAGAAATCCTCATTTAAGTACTGGCTGCAGCTGACGTGACTGAGCGATGACAGAGACACTTGGCGGAGTTGTTAAAGGCCTTCATGACATCTGCTGAAAGTAAAGAGCGGCCGATCGTCTGTCAGCAACATAAATGAACATGCAGAGTCCAGAATGAGGCACAGGCCAAAGAGGGGAGCTGAGCTTCCCTTCAACTGTGTCATAGACTCCCGATTCAGGACTCTTTGAGGTACACAGGCAGTATTGTGTGTCATGAGAGGAAACGGCTGCTGATTGTGCATTTGTTGTGCATGTTTTTTTTTTGTTTGTTTTTTGTAATGTATTGTATTTATATTTATATAAGTGCTGCTCATATTGTGATGTTTTCTGTTGTTTGAGGGTAAGAAGTACAAGGATCCCTTGTCCTGCTCTGCTTACTTAAGTTATAAACCGATGCACTCACTTTTCAAACATATCTATGTTTCGTTTGGTTTATTTTTGATTTCGAGTAGCAATCCTGTTACCATGCCCTCTATTTGTAATGGGAATATTTATAAAAATGACTCAGCCTCTGCATCTCTCGTGTTTCCATGCTATGTTAGAGGATTATTCTGTTAAACAGAACAAGTCGAACCCTAAATTAACAGTTGTTCCCCTCTTTAAAATACATTCAGGCCCCTGCTTGCAGCTCAGTAGAGGCTTTGGAAACTTCCTTTGAATCCGGAGCCTCCAGAACCTCCGCTCATTCTCTCTTAAAAAAGCTTGTGAGGATTGACGGCATTTCACGGAGGTCTAATTTTTCCAGATCCCGGGTTAATGTTTGGGGCCTCACATGGCGACTGCCCAACATTTCGCTCCCCTCTGCTGACACGTTGGAGCTAATCTTCTCACATTCCCCTCGCTGAGGGAATGCTCCCGTTAAAGAAAAAAAGGCTATCTAAAGTCTGACCCCTCGCCCTTGTTAAAATGGCACACATTCTCCACATGATTCCTCCTCTTGGGGTGGTTATTTCTTCTGAGCCGTGGTAGCTGGTTCCATCATGAGCACAGAATCGGTCAACTATAATTGGCCCGCATTTGCTACTCTATTTGTTGTCCCCATCACTGTGTTATATTCAGACCTGTTTTCTCCATTGCTCACATTTCTAACTGTATCCCTAACATGGAATCTTCTATTTATTTCTCCCTGCATGATGCAGGATCACTGAACACTGCTGAATGTAGACTCCTGTTTTCCAAGACTGAGTTTTATATTTGACTGGAAATTCAGATTTCTTAAGAGGGAAAATGCAAAATAACTGAGTTGTAAGACTGATTTCCATCTTGACAACATAATTCCAGGAGTATCTGTGTCAAATCAAACAAATATCATGTGAAATGTCAAACACATAGTTTTTTCCCCTTCATACTTCTTCCATCATCGTTTCCCGTCACAATGCATTTGCTGGTCAATGCGGCGTGTCCTTTGACGTATTGCCCTACTCTTTGTTTGGAATGTGTTTACATGAATGGCTATTTGAAGTGAGAGATGTTAATATATTTTCGTTTTGTTTCTGTTTATATTTTCTGTATTTTTATTGTTTTCTGGTGCCAAAGATGTACTCTAAATTATAACCGTTGTCAAATACAAAAGGTCCCGTCAAGGCGCCTTGCTTCAGCTGGTTGACCCATTTTGTTATGGCTGTGAACTTTTGTAAAGGAAACATTTGTATGTATGCCTTAACATTTCTCCATAATAGATTAAAATTCTTAATATATGTCTCAGAAAAGGCTCACGGTTTGATTTTTTCACTCTAGTTTTAAACATTGTCAATCAACTGGAGTCAGTTCAAACTCTTTTTTTATGTCTCAGGTCTCAGTGAAGGTTGATCAATTGATGTTCCAATACAGAAAGATACTCAACCAGGTCCCTCACTTTTAATTGATTCAACACTCTTAATAAGTAAGGATCTCCCTTAAATCAAAAGTAACAATACGTGAAACTTCATGGTCAGATCGTCAGAAACATTAAAGAGTTCCAGACTTTTACAACAAAGTCCATCCATTCTACAATAAGTCAGACATGTTAGTTAGTTGCTTATTGAAAGTGACATTTCTTACATTTTGGGCTGTACAGTATACTGATGAACTTATTTCTAAACTTGAGCATATAAACAACCAACACTGAACAGGAATTTCATCAAAAATTCAGATGATCTCAAACTTATGCCAGTTGACTCCAGTTACACTATTTCAGACAAAGAGAAAAGCTTGAAATGAACTAAGAACCAACTAAACCCAAAAACAGTATTTGTAAAATGTATAAGATAGCATGTCTGTCTAACTTTGGGATAAGCTCAGATCATATAACAGATAATGTTTAGTGAACAGGTGATCATGCAAAGTACATAGATCTGTCTTCAGGGTCTCACTCACCCTGTCAGGATTCCATTCATTCACTAAACATTATTCTGCCTATTACCTACTGTAGCTACTGAAAGACATTTACAAATTGATACAAAATGTTGATTTAAAGATGATTTTATTAAATCAAAAGGATTTTAAAAAAACAGTCAGCAGGACGTTTATGGCACCAATTCATATCAGCCTCCTCAAAGGAGAAATTCAAATTAGACTGAACATTTTCATCTAAGCTAACTTCAGATAAGATGAACAACACAAGACAGAAAATTCATGCTGACTTCTCTTTCCTTGATAAACTCTCCTCCACTGAGCTTTGTAGTTGGTTATGTCAATTTAGTGATCTGCAACTTAAGGATGCTCTCTCCAGCTATGCTGCTGTCGCACAGATTGCAGGACAGGATGTTGTGCCACTTTGTCCAGACACTGAGGTTCAGGTCCAGTCGCTCCTTCAGTTGCTCTCATATCTGTACCTGCAAACTGTCTGTATGTCCAGCTCTCAAAATCAGCCTGAGATGGAAACAAATGTTTTTGTCACAGTGTCAACAGGCAAAAGGTGGAATTATCCAGAGCTCCTTTCTGCAGGTTGCTTTGCCTATTTGTGTCAGTACATTTCCATGTTATGCAAAAAAAAAAAAAATGTTTATTGCATTGACCAACTGAAACCAAACTTTAAAATACATGTTAAAAAGTTAGTCTGAATGAAATCGCTTGAAATCCACTTACTCATAGCCACTTTACTCATGCTACTCAAGCTAAACAAATCAACAAGAAAAGGATGTGAATAGAATTGCACTGTATGAATGATCATCTATCTTTTGACATCCTGTGAGACACTTTTTGTTGATTGTTTTGGTGCCTAATAGGCCAACTGGGAGATGAACCAGCAATAAGCTTAAAAGGGGGCACGTTGCCACCCTGTTGCTACTGCAGCAGTGGCTGACATGCCTCTGTCAATAACTGGATTCTTTTCTGGTGCTTGTAAACCGGGGACTGCAGTCCACTCGACTCAACTGTGCATGTGAAGATATGCAGCTGGTATTGCTTCGGCTACTGAGACTTAATTACAGTTTTTACTGTAATCTGACCAAAAAGAATCAAGTTCTTTACATGTCTGAGAAACAAACATTGATAGAAGAGTGACTCTGCTGAGCAATATAAGGGGCCAAGCTTTTCAAGTGCTAAAAGTTTGCTAATATCAACCACAGTTGCTACTGGCCACACAATATGCAAGTGGTACCCTTTGCACTGAAAATAAAGCCAAGGCAGATAAAAGTGCAGTTTGTCAAGAGACCATTAGAGGCTAGCACCAAAAACTAAGGAATCTTGGCTGCACGTTGTAACTGTTGGCTAGGCTATCACCTGACAGCTTTTCCCAGGTTTCAAATTAGCTGCAAGTTAGTTGAGGTCAGTATTTCAAAGATGGTACTCACCACCATCTGTTGGCTTTACCATGCATCTACTGAAACTAGCGGCTGATGTTACTGACACAACGGCCACGCTGTATACCATCCACGACCGATCCATGCAAAGCTGTACCACAGAGTAAAAGTCAGTTCCTGATTTTGAAGTTGTAGAAAGAAATACACTGTTGTGTTTTTGATTAAAACATTCTTGCACCCCAAAGTCTCATCTGTTGTTGGTGTGAAGGGTTAGGTATAATAGTGATGTCATCCCCTAGTAAAAATAAGAATTTGTCCCACCCCTGAAGAGTAAATACATTCACAGTCTCAAATGTATGCTCAGTATGTTCACAACAGTTGGAAATGGCTAAATATACAATATCTATAGAGTGATATTTCCCATTATGGTCCTCTCAGCTTCACAGCAGACAGCTGTTTGTTGCAGAAAAAGCTCTGAAAAGCCCCCTGCAGAAAGACAAAGTTAGCGACTATCATGTGGACACAGAACATAAAGCACTTGGCAGCTGAAGCGTCAACTCCAGGAATGAGAAGGAACCAAACGGCTAAAAGGAGGGGGACTATATTTGACAACCAGCAGCAAGACTGCACAAAAAATGTGGACAGCTTTGAGGTGATACTGTGTTGACCCTGGTATAACGAAAGGCTTTTTTCTTCAAAATAACTGGGGGAATACTTGGGGTCTGGCCTTTAAATACAAAAATTCATTCATGACAATGGACTGTACCACAGTGTGTTACACATATTCAGCTTTTTTTCAGTTTCATCCATCCATTATCAATTACAATTACAATGTTATTTAGCCACCGCTTTTATCAAAAGCAACGTACATACAAATCATACACCAGCAGAGGACACACACTGGGAGTAAGGAAGGCTAAGTGTCTTGCCCAAGGACACAATGGACAGACTAGGGATAGGGGGGAATCAAACCACCAACCTTTCAGTTGTTGGACAACTGCTCTTCCTCCTAAGCTACTATGACCATTCTCAGGCTTCAAAAATCCAAAACTACCCTTTTAAAATCTGCAATCAAGTCAATACAATCATGAGAACACATTTTGGATGGATACCAAAAAAGCTGTGGTCTCAGTGATGCAGAGGAGTAAGATAGAGATGGAGGGTATTTTTGCAGAGGGGGCAGCAGAGGAGCAGAGCTGGTGTGGTGCTCCTGCTGCAGCCCTGCTGCAGCCCAGCCAAAGCCAACAGTTTGGGCAAAAACTTCAGCAAAGGGCTGTCTATCTGGGACATTTACTCCATCTCTGTAACAGCCCTAAAATTCAAGGACGGTGCCCTGATTTGTGTGGAAAAGTTTCAGGGGTGGAGTGGGGGCACATTCCATGAGTGCTGAAGGCAGGAAGTTTTGGAATCTCCATGGAAATTAAGGCAAAACACAGAGCTCCACAGTTATTTTTCCAAACATTTCACACAGGCTTTTAGTGAAAAATGTGCTTAAGGGCCTCCAAAAGGATCAGATGATTTGTGACCAATTGTCCTCTTTATTGCTGCCAGACTAATTGATTTACACACATTACATAGCAAATAGTGCATGACTCTATGAGTGCAAAAGAGGCGAGATAGATTTAAGCAGAGTGAAAAGGACAGCATGTAAAGAATGCACATTTTTCACATGACTCTACAGTTTGCCAACCATGTATAACCAAGTACAAAACTCCTCATTTACTCCAAACAAAGCTCACTTCATTGACTTCTCATCCACTGTGACTGATTCTGTGGTGAAGTGTGAACCTCACAGTGTCAAAGAGAGACAAAGGGGTGAAATTATGTTGAAAACTGCAACACTAATGACGACAATCACAGTCATCCTTGCAAGACGGGTGCAGAATGCAAATGTTCATTGTATGGGATTTTTTTCCCATCCTGTAAAGATTTACTTCAGTTTACTTAAGGAAGATAGGTTTTAAATTTGGAGCAAAATAAACTTAACCTTTCACCTACAGAAGTATCAAACATCACTCCAAAGACGACAGTGGCCTTTGTGCTACATGTGCTTCTATTAGAGGCAAGATTAAAGAGCTAAAACATGATCATCTCAGGCTCAAAGTGGCAAAAATAGAAGAAATTACCATGAGGAACTTGTGTCCTAGCTTAAAAAAAGCCTTCAACACACTCAGGAGATTTGTTATTGCAGCTTTTCTGAGCTGAGAAAAGTGGCACTCAGCTACAACAAGTAAAGGCAGCAGGAGGAAAATGTATGGCATTCATGGTATGCCAACCCCAGCTCTCTTGAGGGAACAAGGAGGGCAAAAATATTTACATTAAAAGTCAAAGTTTACAAGAGTTTTTGCAGCTAATGACTGTGTGCACTTCCAGAGGATTAAACAGACTGAACACACAGAGGAAGAAAATCATTAAAAAGCACCACAATTCAACGTGTGGAATGATGAAGACAAACATTTTTACATTTCTGCTTTTATTCAGCACTAACTTTTTCTGCACTGTGAGCTCCTTAAAAATCTCCTAAAACCATTTATTCAGATTTCACACTTCATCAGAGTCAGCAGCACAACTTACCATCATGTGAAACAAGAGCCTTTTTTGATGATGAGGGCTGAAATTCCAAGTATTTCCTCATTTGTTTAGGATTTAATGTACAGAACAAAAAGTTGGCAACAAGTCTCAGCACAAGGCTCAGTGCTGAGAGAAGGAATTTAAAGGACTATGAGGAGTATTAATGTGGTTTTCAAACAGTTTTATTTCAATGATGATGCCTCTGCAGTAAAGTTTAGTTTTGGATGTCCGGATTTTGGATGCTGTTGACATAAGCTCGTAGGTCCACCAGGCCAATCTTAGTTGCACCATTAAAAAAAAAACCTGACGAGATAAGGAGTTACATGAAAATGGATGGAAGTTGAACTTTGACTAAACTTCATCACAGTTTAATGAAAGTGTTCAGTGAACTGAAATAAAAGCTAGGTTCAGCTCTG